GGCAGAGAGGCAGGGGAGCCTGCTTGGAGAACAGAGGCAGCCAGCTGACAGCCCGGCTGAGCTCCGACCTGATGTGAAGCTCTCTTAGAAACAGAAGATTTACTGCTGAGTGAGGCAAGCCAGGCTATGAAGGAGAGACACTGTATGTCCCCACTTAATACATACTGAATGTCTGCACTCTATGACTGAAACTGACGGGCTAAAGGATGTACAAACACAGCAGGTGGATGTGAATGCCAGATGTGGTGTGTATGGAGGAGTGGGGCCTGGGGAAGAACATTTGGAGGAGGGATACGAAGACAGCATTGTTGAGACAGGGAGGTAGTGTTGTTATATTTTGATCAACTCAACCGGAAGAAATGTTCACATATTGAAATGATCACCTTGTAAGCTAAATAATGCGATCGAATGTATTTAAAAAAAGTAAATATAAATAAATAAATAAATAAAATAATAAAATAAATGGTCTGTTAATGTTTGTGGGCATGACTCCCACAGTCCCTTTTGAAAAGGTTTTGGAAAATAGGAAAAGTAGTCAGACTTTTTGTCCTCAATCCGAAGTAACGTTTTAAGATGGATCCATCAGTGACTGTCACAGAAAGCTGTGTGCCCAGGATTTGAGCTGCCCTGGAAAAACTCGTCCTCTCACTGCTCTGTTTTAATTGCCAGCCTTTGAGACAAAAAACTCTGATGTCACATACCCAGTGAAATGTATTTGTTTATGGTAATCCCGGCCTCCTACTCTTTTCTGAAATACCTGGTTCTGTAGAACACGTTGGCAAGGTATGTTATGGAACAAGCAGATCAACAGCTTTTTTTTTTTTTTTCTCTCTGTGATTATGAAAAATGTGCTGGAAGCCTCTGATGATTTTCAAATCCTGAACTATAGGTTGAAAATAAAAGATGAACATAGATGAAGCCCTCTTTTACTGATGGACAGGGTGCTCTATAACAGGAAAGTTTCTGTTCGCTTCTTCCTTCTGGAAAACAATGAGGATCCTGCTCTCAGTGGGCACTTCAGTAGGCAGATTTCAGCATAGATGAGAAAGCAAACCGTGGGTTGTTCTTAAGCCCCCAGGTCAGATCATGTCAGTGTTTCCAGAGTACAACAGAATGGTAGAAGTTGGCTTTAAGCTGAGCCTTTGCTAAGAGTCAGCCAACCTGAAAGGATTTATTTATTTATTTTGGCCTCGGTAATGTCTAAATGATGATAAGTATTCAATATAAGTCTCTCTTAGCTCTCTGGGGTGGATCTGCCTGAATTGGTTATGACCCCCAGAATCCAGAAACTCCAGGAGAGTTGGTTAAGAATGTTTTATGGGAGAAATCCAGTGTAACACAGTAAAAATACATTTTAAGTGTTCAGAAGTATGTAATTTGCTGCTTTTGTTCACGAGTATTTTTAATACTTCTGGACAGAGCCTAACTGCCTCTTTCCTAGGGAGATATGATTTCAGTTTCTTAGGTGAATGTACGTTTTATAAGTTTTTAAAGAAAAATTAGACATTAAGAGACATTTAAGTGCTTTACTCTTTATATAATGTCACTAAGAAAAGCCAGGAAAATCAGGGTTGGGTTTTTAATTTATTTAGTTAATAAATATAATCTATTTTCCACCATTTTGTTTGTTATGGCTGGTACCAAAGTACTTTTAAATGTTAACATTTATTTGATTTTGTTTTATTTCAGCAGATGTGCATAATAAATGAACCTATCTCTGTTCTTCATCGTGGGCTGGGGCAGTGTTTGACATCTAGCTTCTTGGCATTCTGACACACGGGCGATTTAGCTTAGCTCAGCGTGGTTTGATGCCCCCCACTGTGTGACGTTTAGCACGTGACTGACACTAAGGGGAAGAGGGTGCAGTCTGTGAGGCCATGCCCGGGCGTGCGTTCACAGTGTGCAGCAACTCTGGCCTTTGCCAGGGGCCTGGGGTTCCTCTTCTGGAAAATGAGTGGTTTGGGGCAAGTGGAGTCCAAGAATCCTGGATCTGAGTTTAAAACCCTCTGGGTTGATAGTCCTCTGACTGATGCCACCTCTTGTCTCTCTTTTTCTTTCTTTTCACTTTAGGAGAAGAGAATGCTGGCGCACCACTTACAAAAGACGAGAGCACCTCCGTGTCACAGGGCACAAGAGCTTTACCAGAGAAGTCACTGCAAAGATCAGCAAAGGTCATTGCTAACACATTTTCCCCATCCAAATGGCAGTCCCCGAGCTACTTTCCAAAGGTCTCTTGTGATTCAGTCAGGACTGTAGTGGGTCAGTTAATCAGAAAAGTCAGTGGAAGCAAGGAATCATAAAAGGTGAATTTTTTCATAGTTTGAAATATGTAAGTACACTTTCATTTGCCTGTCTTTGAGAACAAGGCCAGGGCCTTTTCTCTGAGTTTGGGGAGGTTGATTAGCATTCTGTATTATCTTTCTTGCTTAAATCACACCTGTAATGCAGCATTGGTCCAAACTTCCAGTTTGGATCATTTAAAGTGGAGTGAACATTTAGGTACTGGAGAAGCAATATGGATATAAACTCCTAGATTTTTTCTTTGTTTGTTTGTTTATTCATTAAAATTTTATACATTTAATGGTAACATCACTTGCTTGTAAGTTGAATATACCCAACATGAATATGCTTCACACCAGTCCAGTTGAGTGCTTTGATTTTGTTTTATTGTCATACGCATATCTAATGCAAAAATAAATGTTTAGTAGTTCGTTAACAGATTTTCCAGAGAATTCAAATCACTTATCTTAGAAACAGCAATTGTAGTTACATTGTGTTCCACTGTTTCGCGTGATTGGATTTTATTTGCAACTGTATATGCTCGTATCTGTGCCTTTTCAGATGTGAGCTTAGGCCCGGCTGACTCTAGCTGTGCAAGTAGTGCATGGCGGAGCGGTGACAGGCACAGATAAAGTGGCATCATAGCAAGGCTTCGTATACAGAGGCGTCTGTCAGTAGGCTTAACCTGGGAATGCAGATTGGACCAAACTTCCAGTTTGGATCATTTAAAGTGGAGTGAACATTTAGGTACTGGAGAAGCAATATGGATATAAACTCCTAGATTTTTTCTTTGTTTGTTTGTTTATTCATTAAAATTTTATACATTTAATGGTAACATCACTTGCTTGTAAGTTGAATATACCCAACATGAATATGCTTCACACCAGTCCAGTTGAGTGCTTTGATTTTGTTTTATTGTCATACGCATATCTAATGCAAAAATAAATGTTTAGTAGTTCGTTAACAGATTTTCCAGAGAATTCAAATCACTTATCTTAGAAACAGCAATTGTAGTTACATTGTGTTCCACTGTTTCGCGTGATTGGATTTTATTTGCAACTGTATATGCTCGTATCTGTGCCTTTTCAGATGTGAGCTTAGGCCCGGCTGACTCTAGCTGTGCAAGTAGTGCATGGCGGAGCGGTGACAGGCACAGATAAAGTGGCATCATAGCAAGGCTTCGTATACAGAGGCGTCTGTCAGTAGGCTTAACCTGGGAATGCAGAGTGGTCACTCCCGGCAAGTTGGTCAAGGGAGTCTCTCAGCTGCATCTCAACAAGAGGACTCCAAAATTATACTGTACATGCACTACTCCCATTGCCCACCCCGTTATCCAGCTCTTAATTGCCGGCAGCATAGAACCAGGCACCAGGCAACATGCTAGAGGTGAAGGGTCACGACCTGTGGGAAGCCTGGACCTGAAGGCTGGCTCACAGACCCATTTTGTTTGTGCAGTATTTAAGAAATCGGACCTCATAGCTTACATCTTTAAAAAGGGGGGAGGGGAGTATGCACATAAAAGATGAGACTTTTGGCTTCTCTTGCCAAAACAAAATATCAGGCCATATTGGGCTGCCTTCCTAAAAGACTTAGGTTGGAGCTGGGCTGAGGCAGCACTCTGCTGATAGACTCGAGTCCTACAGTGGGCTACTGCCCTCTAACCCTCCCCTGCTTTTGGATAATGTCTGTTAATGAAGGCAACCTAAACTCACAGGCGAAACAGCTCTTACATGCTGTCGTAGTAGTCATGGCAATGACTACTAAGGCCATATGAATCACGAGTTATGGCACACTGTTTAGTGCAGTTCCGTGCTGTCAGAAAGTAACATTAAGCGAGGACTTCTGGTTCACACAAGATGTCACAGACTCGCTTCTGTTTGCTCCTCCCACTAAGCACAGCTATAAATGTGGAAGAGACAAGAGCCAACCAGAGGAGAGTTCTGAACGGTGAGAAGAGGAAGGTCAGCTAGTTAGAGACCCCAGGACTAGAGAAACGACATGGTGGCAGGCACCTCACAATCTTCACCAGCAGAAGGCGACTCGGACACCATGTTTCTGAATCTCAGCCTAGCAATGGAAGGCGGCCTGGGTAGACCCATTCCTCATTCAGATGTAACAGAAATCCCTCCAAACACCAGGCAATCCCAGCAACACCTGTACAGGGAATCGCCTGGGAGCCCTGGTGACAAGTGGCCCCGAGGATGAAGATTTCTCTCTCCCACCAAGAAACACCACGCATCCTAGTGGCCGCACCAGGCAGATGCTGCTGTAAGAACCGGCCCAGCCGAGGATACCTCTGTGTCCTCTCTCCTACCCAGAGGCACCAGACAGCCTGAGGATGCCAGTGGAAGGGGTCTTGCCACAACAGGCAGCCACTGTGAGAAGCCCCTTTGTGCTCACGGGGTTGAGACCCCCCTCCCCCCCAGGGACACTGGGGAAACCAGCTAGACCCAGTATAGAAGATCCCGCCACACTGAGAAGCCTTAAATGGGAAACCTCTTTGTCTCTGTAGGCTGGAGATTCCCATTCTACACTTAGACCAGGTGGTCTGACCTGAGGAAGTTCCCTCCACCCCACAGGCCGTCCCTGTGAAGACTGTGGAAACCCCAGTGACACGGCATTACCAAATGTGCCAAGACAGTACTGCACAGGCTCTGAAATGAAGTTGTCATGGGAACCAAAGTTTGAAAGTACCAGAACCTGCTTGCTAAACCTAGACAAGGTGACTGCCTTCTCAGATAAAAGGCTTACCTTCTGAGTCTCTCAACATGAGAGCCTAGAAGTCCAGGATAGAAGTGAAAACCAGGAAATCACAACTTGTGTGAGAAAAGACAATCACCTGTTCTCAACACTGAGCTGTTGCAGCCATCATGAAAATATTTCAACAAGCAATTAAAATTCACTTGAGGGAAGGCTAGGGAACCAATCCCACACAGTTAACTGTGGTTCAAATCCTGACCCTGGTACCTTGAAAAGTGCACCAAGCGGATGTGTGCCTGTCCAGATTGTGATGGAGACATGGAGGAAGAAGGGTCGTGGCATGACCATGCCTCATTGGGGGTGCTTTCTCTCTATGAGCCCATGCACCCCCTGGCAATCAAAAAGAAAGAGAGAGAGAAAAAGAAGAAAGTTCCCTTGAAACATTTAAGAAAATAGAAAAACCTCAGCAAAGAAATATAAGTTATTAAAAAGAACTGAATGAATTATAGAGCTGAAAAATACAGTAACAGAAATAAAATACTTGCCAAGTGGGCTTCACAGTGGGATAGAGATGACAAGCATTGACTTGAAGACTGATCAATACAGTTTACCCAATCTAAACAAAGAAGAAATTGATGGGGAAAACATGAACAGGGCCCCAGGGAGCTGTGGGACAATAAAAATTATTCAGCATTTATCTAACTGGATCCCAGAAGGGGAAGGTCAAGAGAGTAAGACTGAGGCCTCACTACGTGGTGCCAGTGGGAGGGCGCCCTGTGCAATGGCAGAAGCCAGATGGGAGGCCGGGGTTTAGTTCCCAGCCCAACCTACATGGTCTGGGTACCGTGGTGCACTCCGTGGTGTCAGCTGACTGGGAGGCTGGGGCAGAAAAGATCTTGACCTGGCAAAGACCTTGTCAAAAAGTGCCTATCTCAGGCCAACAAGTGGCATAGTAGTTAAGGTGCTGGACTATCACATGGCCAAGAGCAGTTTGAGTCCTAGACCTGACAGCTTAAAACTCATGTCAGGTACATGTATGTGCATGCCTAAGATCCCAAGAGGAGAATGAAGAAGGGTCTGTAGCGTGGCCACCTCCCGGGGGGTGGGGGGAGGGGGGAGGAGGGTGATTTCTCACTTTCTCTCTCTCTGTCTCTTTCTCCAGTGAGCACATGTGCCCTATAGCAAAAATCTCTAAATAAATAAATATTTTAAAAGTGCCTGTCTTTTTCTGTCTCCCTGCCTTACATAGGCTTGCTGTCTTTCACTCTCTTATTTAAAAATGAGAACTGGGAACAAAATATCTTAAGAGATTCTAGCAAAAGCTGTACAACATTAATGTGTAGTGGTATTCATCTGCACAGTTGCAATCCCTTTTCTGATCAAGCTTGTATTCGGGTTAGAGAATACCGTGACTGAACAGTTCCGGGACTGAGGATTTTAGGGTGGGTGAAGTGGAAGGACAGGAGGGGTGAGGTACTTGACAGTGTAGTAAGAAGACTTGAAGGGATGGAGTGTGGTGGCTCTGGGGAGGTAGGATTTAAGGCTTAGATGTAGCAGACAGACTCAGAGCAGGAAAGGACGAAGGCATGAAAAGCCTTGGTGTGGTCTAAAAGCCTTTGGAATGTGACACGAGAGAGGGCAGAGCTGCTAGGTGGAGCAGTCTGAGGGCGGATATTGGGATGGGACTAGCCTGAAGGATGCCGAGGGCTGGCCATGAGGAGGAGTTGCTGAAACTAAATGGAAGTGAGGCTGCTGGTGTTGGAGAGAGACAGGAATTGTGGGTACAAGATGTTGACGGGGTCAGTCACCCGGTGAAGGTGGGGGAGGCAGGCCTTAGCCAAGTGTCATGGAGTGCCCAGGAGGTCAGTGGGAGACAGTAACAGAGGGCAGCCTGGACCAGAGAAGGACGCAGAGACATTCACGAGGTGGACACAGGGTGCAGCACAGGCAAACCTGGACACCGGTGCTGGGTGGGGAAGGAGCAGCCTTTGCCCAGAGGACCTGGAGCCGGCAGTGCTTACGACGGGTGCATGCAAAGGGGCAGCTGGAGCTCCTGAAAGAGGACACAGCAGTTTATTCAGTATAGAAAGGTGTTTTCCAAGGAGAAGAAAGAATTGGAGGAAGGACAGAGAGCTTACAATGGATGAGAAGACAGTGCCCCAAGACACTCGTCCACGGGTCTGGAGCTGGCGAGTGCTTGTGGGAGAGGCGAGGTGGGCTCCCCTGGTTCGGTGGTTCTCTGCGGACAGACTGAGAACTCCCACATGAAGTCGGAGAGCTGAGCAAGGGTAGCAGTCAGCTCAGTAGCAGTTCGAATCCTTTCTTAGGAGTCTAGCAGGAGGTCAACAGCTGTTCCAAGGAAGGGACAAAACTGGACTGTCTACGGCAGAGGCTGATACAGTTCAGGAATAATGCCCCTCTGGGTGCCCCTAAGGGAGAAGACTCACTTTCCAAAGAAAGCCTCTCTGTTGGCAGAAATAGCATATACACACGGTAGAATGGTGGCCCAGATGGTCACCTGCTGAATTGAGAGACTGAGTTTAATCTGGGAAATAAGGAAGGTTAAATACTAATATTTCTCCTACTGGCTGTAGAAGGCATAATTAAGAACAGTAACTTATTGGGAACCAGCAGTTAGTGTAATGGCTATGTCACTGGATTCCCACGTAGTCAACCGCTGTTTGTGTCCCAGACCTGGTGACTTAAACTCACGCCGGGCGCGTGTGCCTGCGTGCCCAAGATCCCGAGAGGAGAATGGAGGAGAAGGAGAAGGGATTACGGCGTGACTGTCCGCCCTGGGGGGGTGATTTCTTGCTTTCTGTCTCTATGTCTCTCTTTGTCTGTCTGGCGAGCACAAGCACCCTATAGCAGAAACCTCTTGGGGACCACAAGCCCCCTCTAGCAGAAACCTCTCAAAAAAAAAAAAAAGAAAAAAAGAAAAGAAAAAAGAACAGTAACTTATTTATGTCTAATAACTTTTTAAAGCAACTTAAAAAATGGGTCGTTAATGTGAGATAATGATATTGTTCATGTGAGAAAAACATAATGTGGAAAATGTACCTAGAGGGCCAGCAGGTGGCATGGAGGTTAAGGTGCTGGATTCCACATAGTCAACTCTGTGACTTCTGTCCCAGACCTAGTGGCTTGAAAATCACTCTGGGCACATGTGCATGCATGCCCAAAATCCCAAGAGGAGGATGGAAAAGGGGTCGCAGTGCGGCTGTCCCCCAGGCGGTGATCGATCGATCTCTCTCTCTCTCTCTCTTTCTCTCTCTGGCGAGCACTCATATTCTATAGCAAAAACTAAAACAAAAAGAAGAGGAAAAAATACCTGGAGTCCCATTTCCCTGCTGCAGCCTCCCATATCGCTGTAAGACTTAGGTCATGGCTTCCAAAGCACTTTCTTTTTAAAGAATTATTTTTATTTAACTTTATTTATTTTATTTATTTTTAGTTTGACCAGAGAGGGATAGAGGGGTGGGGGTGGGGGGAGTGAGAAAGCAAGCTGCCAGATTAGGGACTTGAACCACTGTCGGCCATATGGGAGTCCAGAGCCCCTAACCACCACTCCACCTGCTGGCCTCAGCACTGTCATCTGATTTATCCCTGTGTCGCAGTGTTTTTCCTTGGTTATGTATACTTACTAGCTACTTAACTTGTAACTTAAATATGGATTAGTCACAGAGAATCACTGAGAAACACTTCGTTTTCACCCAGAAGCACTACTGGACTGAGCTAGTTGATCAAAGCATGTCCCACTGACGTCCCCACCAGTTGCCCAGCTCTATGGAAAACTGGTATTGACCATATCTTTGGTGTTTTCAGGTGGTTCACATCTTGGAGAAAAACCATTCTCGAGCAGCAACTGGCTTCCTCAAACTCTTGGCCGATAAGAACAGTGAACTGTTCAGGAAATACGCCCTGTTCTCTCCCTCAGACCACCGAGTGCCTAGAATTTATGTGCCTCTCAAAGACTGTCCCCAGGACTTTGTGTCCCGACCTAAAGATTACACCAACACGCTGTTCATCTGTCGCATTGTGGACTGGAAAGAGGACAACAACTTTGCTCTGGGGTAGGTGATCTCTGGCAAGAAAAACCACAGGCCACAGGCAGAACTCTGGCTAGGTGGCCTTCAGGTAGACTTTTTCTGTGCTTTAATTACTTTTTCTTTATTAAGATGTTATACTTGGTGTATTTTCATCCCAATTCTTTAGAAATTGCCCTTACCTGGGGCTGGCAAGTGGCATGGTGGTTAAGGGCTCTGGACTCCCACATGGCCATCTGCAGTTCAAGTCCTGGACCTGGAGGCCTGCTTTCCTACTTTCCCTTTCTCTCTCTGTCTCTCTCTGGTCAAATTGAACAAATAATAATGATGATAATAAATGAAATAAAATAATTCTTTAAAAAAAATCGCCCTTACCTGTCACCTCCACGGATAGTGTATAGGTTTCTTTAATTACCAGGCCCACCACCTTTTTGTTTTTGTTTTTTTGGCATGAAATATAAGCAGTGTCTGAACCTCTGCTTGTGTTTTGTTATGTCGTGAATCGCATTTGCACTTGTGTACTGTGGAGAATTCACTGCGCAGCCAGCCAGTCTTCTTTCCTGTGCCAGGGTGAAAATATGCAAAGTCCAGACTTCAGGAAACGTCAGGCTCCTTTGTTTTAAAATATGAGTATGGGACCAGCAGTTGGCATAATGGCTAAGTCACTGGACTCTCATGTAGTTGACTGCAGCTCGAATCCTGGACCCAGTGGCTTAAACTCACGCTGGGCACGTGTGCGTGTATACCCAGGATCCCGAGAGGAGAATGGAGGAGAAGGGATTGTGGCATGGCCATCCCCCCGGGGGGTGATTTCTCGCTTTCTGTCTCTCTATCTCTTTCTGCCTTTCTGGTGAGTGCACACGCCCTATAGCAAAAACCTCTCCAAAAAATATATATATATGAGTATGAAGACATGTTTGAATGATGCAATTTGTTGCTATTGATATTCAAAGGTTTCATCTGTGGCATTAAAAACTAAATGATCCTAGGGGCCAGCAGATGGGACACTGGACTCCCACATGGTCCACAGCAGTTCGAGTCTTGGACCTGGTGGCTTGAGGATCATACCAGGCACATGTGTGTGCTTGCCCAGAGGCCCGGGAGGAGAATGAAGGCGAGGGGATTGTGGCATGGCTATCCATCCTGGGGAGGAGGAATGATTGCTCACTTTCCTTCCCATCATCTCTGTCTGTCTCTCTCTGGCAAGCGCACGTGCTCTATTGCAAAAACCTAAAGCAAAACAGAAAAACTAAATGACTACAGTAAGCAGCAAAGGGTAGCATGTTCTTGTGGAAGCTGTCAAAAATCAGTCTAACTTAATAGACATCACATAGTCCCGGAGCGTCATATTTTCATCTGAACAGCTGGGCCAGCTCTCTGAGCAAATGCTGTGCTTATTCTCTTTGTAGAACTGGTATTTATTTAGAAATAAAAGCAATGTTAAGTTTAAGCTATGCCTTTGTTACAGATGCCCTACACCTCTGCCCCTTATGCCTCGCAGGAAGTGAAAGTCAGGAGCAGAGCCTGTGCTGGCAGCTCCTTGTAGTCTGGCTGTGACTTGCTTGTTGTCATCGCCTTGTCTGGGGTGGACTCTCCTGTGGTGACAAGGGCCCCAGCCGAGTGCATGGCCACGGTATGCTCTTCTGCAGGCTGACTCCATCCTCAGGCCTAGCAGAGTAAACTGTGTCAAACCTGCATGTCATACCAATGCAATTTAAGAAGCACTGCCCTGGGACCAGTATACATATGGCATAGCGGTTATGTTGCTGGGCTTACACATGGCTGATTGCAGTTTGAGTCCTGGACCTGGTGGCTTGAAATTCACACTGGGCATATGTGTGTGTGCCCAAGATCCCTAGAGGAGAATGGAGAAGAGATTGTGGTGTGGCCATCTGGGGATGATTTCTCACATTTCCTCCCCCTGTGTCTGTCTCTCTCTTTCTCTCTGATGAGCACATGTCCTAAGGTAAAACATTCTCAAAAAAAGAAAAAAAAAAAAAAAAGAGGAAAGAAAGCAGCATCACTGCCCTGTGCACGTTTCCTGTTCCGTGGCCGTCAGTGACTTACATGACCTCAGAGCTGCTTAGGGTCAGCTGCACTTTCTTTTCTGCTCTCCAGTGGCATGACTGCAGTGCCATCATTTTTAAGCCTAACTCATTATCCACAAGTGACGTCAACCCCTGATCCCTAACTAGCCCTTCCCACGGGCTGGCCAGTTTCTCACCGTTGAGTCAAAAGGCCTGAGATTGGCATGCCACCTGGCCCTGCTGATTACGCAGCCTCGCTTTGTTTGGCAGGGAGAAGGAGGACTTTCACATCGGCTCAGGAAATCCGGCCTAGTCTGTTATCTGCCGCTGTCACGTCCCTGCATGCACACTGGATTGGACTGCTCCCTCAGTGTGCAGGTTGTGAGGGTGTCGTCGGGACACCTTTGGGGTCCACGTTCTCGGACTGCCTGAGTGGCCCATCGCCCCATTTTTATAGCTGACCCATCACTCAAGCGGGAGCTCTTTTCTTGTGGGTAAAGTACAGCTCCCACCAGAAAGAGCAGTCAGACCTGTGGGGCAGAAAGTATGTTTGCTGGCTCTAAGGGAAGAATATTTTAAAATGACAATCGTGTATTAATCATGTAATTCTCAAAATTAAAAAAAGCAGATGTATATTTAGCTGGAACATAATGCTTTTCCTCTGTGTTCTTAACAGAAAGACATTAAAAGTCTTTTTTTATTTTTTTTTAAATGTGCGTTTTAAAATCTTTATGAAAAAGAGAAACTTTGTCTGAAATAAAATGTGGCCTGTTTCCACGATGAAGTTCGTGGACATCTGTCGCATGTGGGTGAGGGCAGCAGCTGTTGCGTGCTGGTGGTCGCATTGCCGTTTTGTCCTGGCTGTTACTTGCCAGTCTTTAGGACCTGAGGTCACTGTTTGCCCATCAGAACACGCTGTGCATGGCGGCTCAGTGTCCTCTCTGCCCTTCGCTGGGCTTCGGCCAGGAGCGGAAGGTCACACCTCCTGTGGTGGAGGTGTTGGGCCAGCTTCCACAGAGACCAGACTCAGTCGATTAGGCTAAGGTGGCCTCTGCAGGTATTTTTCTCCTGCCCTTCCACTCCTACCCCTTGAAAGTGTAGAACTTCCTCTTCCTATGTAATTGTACTCATTATTCGAGTTAAAGTCATTTACCTCTTTCATAGGTAAATTCTGTTTATTCTCCAGACGGTTTTTTTTTTTTTTTGCTATAGGGTGCGTGCGCTTGCCAGACAGAGAGAGAGACAAAGAGACAGAAAGTGAGAAATCAACCCCTAGGGGTGATGGTCACGCCGCAATCCCTTCTCCTCCATTCTCCTCTCGGGATCTTGGGCACGCACACACACACGCCCGGCGTGAGTTTTAAGCCAGAGGGTCCAGGACGCGAACCGCAGTCGACTATGTGGGAGTCCAGCAACATAGCCATTACGCTAACTGCTGGTCCCCCAGACGGGTTTTGATAACTGTGTGTGAGGGTCTATGTTATGTTGTCTGAGAAATTCGAAGGTAACAAGGAACTGTAATCGAATGCAGAAAGACTCGTACATAAATGTCAGAAGGATCATTTGATTCTAGGAAATGGAATCCCACCAGGGCTAACTTAAATAAAAGGAAGGACTAACATTAGAAGCTTGTGGTTCTCCTAAAAACCAGAGCAGGAAATGGGGTAAGTCCCATGAGAAACTCAGAACTAATAAGGCAGCAAAGGAGTCACAGCTTCCATCAGCCACCCGGCCAGCCCAGCCACCGCGGGGCCTCCTCTCTCGACCCCTCTCTGCGTGGGAGCTGCACTCATCTGCCCCTCTCCACATGTGGCTGTCTCCCCACATGACAGCACCCATGGCCCCAAACCGCTCTGCCAGCTCTGCAGGTCACGTGCTGAGGTCTAGATCACATGGTAGAATTTCTAGGGTAGAAAATCAGACTGGACTAGCTTGAGACAGGTGTTTTGTCTGAGTTGTAGTTTCAACAGAGACAGGAGGCCAGGGTGCCGTGACCCACTGCCTAGTTAGCAGGACTGCGGGCCCAGCCCTCGACAAGGGCTGTGGATAAAGCAGATGAATGACTGACCTGTGTCTCTTTGACCTCTAACTATAATACAAAGCCGAAGTTGTAAGTTCTTCCATGGGAATAAAATAATTTGCAGGAAGCTTGGAGGAGGTGGGTGAAGGGAATCCAGGTTCACTTCTTGGAGGACAGAGGCCTCTTTTGGTAAAAGACCACTTTGACAGAAAGGGCAGAGTGGGTGGGAAGGACATGACAGGCAGCTAGAGGTGCTAAGAGGCCGTTGCAGTAGACGTCTGGGATGGGGAGGCCCTGGAACAGTGGGGTGCAGTGGAGGAGACAGAAGGAGCAGGGGAGACTAGATTGTCCCAGGTGCAATGACTGCTAAGAAATGGGGCAGGAAGGACAGACTCTTGGGTGAACTTCCAGGCGCCTGACATGGGCCTGTGGTGGGGTGCTGAGAGCATTTCCCCGTGAGATTCACCAAGGGTAACCTTGGCTCCCACCATGCCCTCACTGAGGCCTCGGTGCTTGCCGTTTCCCAAGCTGATTATAGTTTTCATAAATCCAAACTTGGGCACATTACACTTCCTTGCTAGCAATGCTTTGCCCTCTCCCTAGTGTCTGTGTGGCAAAATACTCAATTTTCTTTTCTTTTCTTTCTTTCTTTTTTTTTTTTTTTTTGG